ATCAAGCCCTTGTAGTTGAGTTGAATTTGTAAACTCAGGTGGTATACTACCACTAAGTTTGTTGTGGCTCACAACAAGGATATTGAGAGACTTGAAATTCCCTAGTTCCATTGGAATGGGACCCGACAAATTGTTCCAATCAAGGTACAAAGATCGTAGATTGCTCATGTTTGCTAGTGACAAAGGAATAGAACCACTAAGTTGATTGTTGCTTAGTGCAAGTTCAGTGAGAGACTTCAAATTCCCAAGTTCAAAAGGAATGAGACCAGAAAAATTATTCTTTTGTAGGAACATACACTGTAGGTCACTAAGGTTTTCTAGCGAGGAAGGAATAGAACCACTAAGTAGATTTTCACTCACTTGAAAATTAGTGAGAGCCTTCAAATTCCCAAGTTCAATAGGAATCGGACCAGATAATTTATTCATATCGAGGAACAGAAAATGGAGGTTGCTTAGGTTTGCAATTGATGAAGGAATAGAACCACTAAGTGTATTGTTGCTTACCAGAAGCCTAGTGAGAGACTTCAATTTCCCAAGATCAATAGGAATGGGACCAGATAACTTATTATGAGCTAGGTTCAGACGATATAGGTTGCTCATATTTCCTACTGATGAAGGAATGGAACCAGAGAGCTGATTTTGGTACAAAGAAAGGACATTTAAAGATGTCAAAGCACCCAATGATGAAGGAATTGAGCTAGATAGATTGTTTGAGTATAAGTATAGGAACTCAAGTGAGATCATGCTTCCTATTTCAGGTGGGATTTCACCAGAAAACTGATTCTGTGAAAAATCAAGATAGATAAGTTTGGAGAGGAGTCGGATTTGTGGTGGGATAGGGCCAAAGAAGTTGTTTACCCTGAGATCAAAACGTGTAAGATTTTGTAGCAAAAAGAATGATATTTCTTGAAGCGTGCCTCTTAACCCAGAAGATGTGAGATTCAACTTCTGAATGCTCCCATCAGCATTGCAAACTACTCCAAACCAAGAAGTGCATGGGACTGATGCACTAGAATTCATAGGGAGAGGCATCCATGAAGAGAGCGAGGATTTGTTTGTGATTTCAAGGCTAACTTTCCATTTAAGAAGATTATTGGCTTCCTCCAAAGAAGCAGAAGCAAAATTTGGTATGGGCAAGAGTACTGTAATGATTAGTAGAGTTAGAGAGAAAAGTAAGAAGTTTGAAGAAGACATTATTTGCATTGCCATGTTGTGTTTTAAAAAATGATGGTATCCTGATTTATACATGAGCTGCCCTTTCATCTTGTATATTTCATTTCCTCTTATTCGGAAAAGTAATTTATGGCAATTTCATATTTTTCCACAAGAATGTCTTTTATGTAGAAGCTAATGTCATACATTTCCACAAAGGACTTATTACACTTTGAATTGTATTCCTCATGATAATCTAGCTATAAGAAGAAAAAGAAAAGAATGTTAGAAAAGAAATAAAAAATATTTGGTTACCAAAAAGATGTCAGTATATAATGTCAATGTTGGATTTAATAGTGTAATATATATATATATATATATATATATATATATATATATATATATATATATATATATTGAAAACGACAAATATATTAAAAACGAGCCACCGCCAAGCAAGTAACTAGCAGAGGAGCAGCAACAAAAAAACAGACGATAAATTTTAGTACAAGTTTCAGTTGATTTACTTCAGATTTACATTAGGTAAAACTGATACCAAAAGTTTATAGTTAGATGGATGTCATGTCCAAGTTGCGTTATTGAGTTCATGGAGATGGGGTCGGATCGATGTGGCCATTTGAGAATATCTAATGAATCGAATGATTCTCATGCATTCCTTGAACATGTGAACGCGATAACATTAAGATAAATATGAGGATAATAAATATAAAGAAAGTGATGTTGTTATTTTTCCTGGCATTTATTATTATTATTATTATTATTATTATTATTATTATTATTATTATTTTGTTTTCTCTATTGAATAGCGTCTAAAACATATCATACCTTGACTAAAACTAAAGCTACTTAAATAAAATGTTAGTAACAGAGAATTTCATATATGTCTCTCTTCAACTTCAAAATATCATATTTGTCCAGCTTAATTTCTGAATATCATATTTTCCCTTTATAAACCTTCAAAATATCATATTTGCTCAAATCTTTTTTTATAATGTTTTTAATATTTTATAATCATTTTTTATATCTGAGAATTGTTATAATAATTAAAAATTTTAACCATATTATCCTTACATTTATGATAATTGAATGTGAACTTCTAAATTGTTGGAATGTCGCCCTCTTGACAAACAAAAAATTCATCTTCAACCCTCTTAATGGAATGTATATTTTGATTGTTTAGTTTTTTTTGTTGTTGATTATTATCATGTTGTAGATGGAGGATGTTTTAAATATTACCATTGATATTTTGATGTTTAAAAAGTACATATACGATATTTTGATATTTAAGTAGGGCATATATGTTATTTTGATGTTTAAAAAGGACATATATGATATTTAGAAATTTTATGATGAGTAAATATGATATTTAGAATTAAGCTGGGTAATTGTGATATTTCAATGTTTAAGAAAGGCATATGTGAAGTTCTCCGTAACATTAAATAAAGAGATATAATCTCACAAAAAGCACCATATATTCTTAAAAGAGGTTTTTAACAAATAAGTTAAATCACTATATATATATATATATATATATATATATATATATATATATATATATATATATATATATATATATATATATATATATATATATATATATATATATATATAGTGATTTAACTTGTTTGTTAAAAACCTCTTTTAAGAATATATATATATATATATATATATATATATATATATATATATATATATATACATATATATATATATATATATATATATATATATATATATATATATACTAGCCGTATACCCGCGCAAAGCGGCGGCGAAAAATAGTTTCTCATTCGGCAATAAGTTCTATACAGAAACATGTTAGATTTCAAGTAACACAAAACATATGCATATTGTTATCAATCGGTTTTACGACAACAAATAAATGTAACCCTCGCAATACAAAAGAAACTAAATATTTTGGTGTTTAGTGTACGTTTATAGTCCTTCATTTTAGAAATTAGGGCACATCCAATTTATGCTTTTGGAATCCATTATACACACATTGTGTGCAGTTTGCAATGGTGCGAACGTCAACCGATTGAAATTTAAAGAAAAAAATTACAATTTTAGAATTTAAAAAAAAAAACAATTCCAAATTGTGTAAGAGAATTTGCATGTAGCATTTACGAGCTGTTTGGTCATTCAAGCATTGTTTATACATAAGGCATTGAAAGTTTGTAATGTTATCGCCTACTACTTTCAAAGTGTATTGCTTAAAAAAAATATATTGTAAGAAAATGAAAACAAGAAAACAAACAGGGAATACATAAGTGATAAGGAATCTCAATGAATTAGATCAGGTGAGTCATGACAGTCAAACAATGCAATAAGAAAATTAATATATATACCAGATCTCAATTGACATGTATAAGCATCAGGGTACATATATTCCAAAACTTTAGTTGACTATATATTAGCTTGAACATTCTCTATTGTATACCCTCCACCTCCATTACCTACAAATTGAGTAAAAAAGAAATGTTAGGCCTGACATTATTTGTGTATAAGCAAGTCTGTGAAGCAAAAAACTCATTCAATATTTTAAAAATCAAATTCAAATATAAACACATGTGTGCACTCCTCAATCAAACCCATTTCTGAAAGAGGGGGAGGGGTTGGGGGAATATTATCAGTTTTGAGAGAAATAGTAATGTCATTAATATCTTTTGCAACAAAACAACCTATTCTTCAAAATTTAAGACACACTAAGCCCATTAGACTCGACAACCTACATGTATAATTTATAAAAATGATTGTTTTACCCTATTCTCGGTTCATCTTATTATTCAATAAATATAATAGCCAAATTTAATTACATTCAGAACTTCTTGCTTCAGTGACCATCACAAGCTACAAGATATGAAGAAAAAAAAACTGAAGCTAAATCATAACAACTTACGTATATGATAAACTCGCCACCACCTGTGATAAACCTTGAGAGGCATAACCCACATGAGTAACAACAAAGCCAAAAAAAGCTTAAAACTGAACTCCCTTTACCGTGTTACCTCCGAAAAATATGGACGTGTCCTGATTCACCCAAGCTGTTGTTGCATGCTATTTTTCTTCAACATTATCTTCAAAACTAAGATTATTATTGCACAATAGCCATAAATGTTGAAGAAATGAGTCAAAAGCTATTAGTCCACTATACACTTTTGATGCCCAATATAGTATATAATATATCCCGTATCAAACATGAATGCGTAACAAATACTCTTTATTATTAAAGGAAAAAACAGACTATTTGTGATTATTTTTCTGAAATAGATGAAGCCGGAAAAAAACCTAAACTAATACCTGAATTTTTTACTAATAATGGCTTAAAGAATCATTTTAGGAACAATTTAGAACAAATACCTACATGATCATTATAGAATCCGATAGATTGTGGGAAATAAAAAAAAAATCATAGTTCAAGACTTTTGAACTCCTTTAGTCATCATATAATAAAATAGACACTAAAAAAAATTAGAAAATATGAAATCCAAAATATAAGAAAAAGAGATGCTACCAGTTAGGCTTGTGATGACTGGTCGAAGTTCCTCTCCCCATTGACTTAGACTGCTCCATGACTGACAAGCTGGTGGAGGAGCAGGATATAGAGGCGAAGTAGATTCAGATCGTCCTTCAATGACAACACATAATAGAAAGGCTTCAAATTTCTTAACAAACAATTTGAAATATTATAACTAAACTCATTTTCGGTGAAGTATTACCCTTAACTGAAGTAAAGCCTGTCGAGAAATATTGAACCCTTAACAACTTATTTAACACAAAATTATGTATCAGATCTCTCAAGTACTTAGAAACCAAATATCATACAAGACAATAGATTTGTGCAGAGTAATAGTGAAGAGAGAGGTTCGAGATTCTTGCATGCAAAATTTGAATAGAAACTACTTGGTGGTGAATCAATGCTGGTGGTTTCTGGATGTAGATCCAGATCCATGGTTTATGGATCTATAATCATGTTGAACTATGGATTTCATCTCTCTTTTCTCTGTTGTTGAAATGTATTCATAGCTCCACAAATATGTTAAAGTTGGAAAAAAAATACTGTATATAATAAGCAAATGACTTTAGGATGAAATCGTTGCATAAAATCATCTTGCAAATTATAATTAAATTAACAAATCCTCGTGTATCTTCTCATTGGTTACTGGGGTATATCCATATTTGTAGAGCAAAACCCTACACAACCATGAGGAAATCTGAAAGAAAAATACGTGAACCTAAAATCAGAGAGAGCTAAAACATAAAACATCAAGAAATTTGAAAGCCTAATACCAAAAAACAAAACACCTTAATCAGAAAAAAGATAAATCAGAAAAACCCAAGAAATCAAGATTATTCAGAAAAAGGATAAGAATCAAGAGCCACACACGAAAGGATAAAGTTCAAAAACTTTCAATTTAGTTTACACCATATCCGCCTTCCAGAAATCTAATGATTCAAGGTCTATGATTTTCTTTATATATCTTAGATAATTGAAGTCATAAATCTGAAATATGTATATGATTAAACATACCAGGTCCAGAACATGGAATTGATGGTGATATACGGCTAGGGTTTTTGATGCAAAGGGAGATGGAGGGACTCGATAGAGTGATGGAGAATGAAGAGTCCAAACTCATGGAAGCAAACCCACAATCAAAACTTTAAAATATATTATTTACCTCTAATTGGATAAGAAACACCTTCCTCATCTTTATACTTTAAACCCCCAGGCCCCAATAAAACTCCAACTTGTTGCTGCCAATCCTTTAATCACTTATTCTGTTTCTTCGCTTCACCATTTATTGTTGTTACAACTGCAAAAATATTCAAAATGAGAACAAAACTCCTCAAAATTACAAGTGATAAAGCTGTAAATTCAATTACATTTTGAATGAAACAATAGAGAAGGGGGGAGTCCATTACCTAGATGACAAAACGAAGAAGACGATTGTGATTTCCATAAAAACCCTGCAAGAAAAAATTTGAATGTGTTGCGTAAAACAACAAAACCCATAAAAATC